ATACAGAGTCCTGATGACTCCTAACTTGTGCTCCAAAGGGTGATGGGTCCTTCTTGAGCATGTGATCAGCTGGTTTTGGTTGTCAGCAGCAAAACTGGTTGATCCACTCTGAGAAGGTGCTATTTAAGAGAATGAGCTGAATACAGCGCCTCAGACTGAGGAAGTCTCTCGGATGAGAGACGAAACGTTTCTATATTTTTTGTTGTTTTGCTTTTTGTTTTTTTGAATGTCCAGAGGACCAGATTTAACTTTTTTAGATAATACATGCATTCATTACATCTAGGCTTGATTACTGCAATTCACTCCTGTTTGGTATCAGTCAGACCTCCATTGCACGACTACAACTGGTCCAGAATGCAGCAGCCCCATTTTTAATCAGTACAGGCAAAAGAGAGCACATTACACCAGTTTTGGCCTCACTGCACTGGTTACCGGTTCACTTTCGAATCCAGTTCAAAATACTCATGTATATCTCCCCCCCCTCCCCCCCCATCTCTCTGATCTGCTACAACCGTATGTCCCACCACGTTCCCTGAGGTCAACGGACCAATTACTCCTCACAGTTCCAGGATCTCGTCTTAAGCACAGAGGTGACAGGACCTTCTCTGTAGCAGGACCAAGACTCTGGAAAGAGTTACCTCTGCTTGTCAGACAGGCCCCCTCCCTCTCGGTTTTCAAGTCCCGTTTAAAAACTCACTGCTATTCTGTAGCTTTCAACACAAGATGATCTGTGTTTTGATCATGTATGCTCCACACTGGTTTGTCATCATTATCTGCATCGTTTTTATGTCTATATTCTGATTTACCTCATTTTGTATTTTGCTTGGTGTGTTACCTGTTGTTTTGTCTGTACAGCACTTTGGTTGGCCTTGTTGCTGTTTTAAGTGCTTTATAAATAAAGTGGTATGGTATGATATGGTAAGTTGAGTTACTGTGGTTGGGTTGTGTTACCGTTAAGTTGTGTTACTGTTGTTAGGTTGGGTTACTGTTTTTGAGTTGTGTTACCGTTGTTAAGTTGTGTTACTGTTGTTAGGTTGTGTTGTTGTTAGGTTGTGTTACCGTTGTTAGTTTGTGTCACTGTTGTTAAGTTGTTACTGTTGTTAAGTTGTGTTACTGTAGTTAGGTTGTGTTACTGTTAAGTTGTGTTACCGTTGTTAGTTTGTGTTACTGTTACGTTTTGTTACTCTTGTTAAGTTGTGTTACCGTTGTTAGGTTGTGTTACTGTTGTTGGGTTGTGTTACCGTTAAGTTGTTACTGTTGTTAGGTTGTGTTACTGTTGTTAGGTTGTGTTACTGTTGTTAGGTTGTGTTACTGTTGTTAGGTTGCGTTACTGTTGTTCGGTTGCGTTACTGTTGTTACGTTGTGTTACTGTTGTTATGTTGTGTTACTGTTGTTACGTTGTGTTA